GCCTTCCTACCCTCGAGCAGATCAACACAGATGAATGTCTGAGAGAGAACAGTCAATAGAAAATGTAAAATCACAGGAAAAAACAGTCTGTCCATCAGCAGTGGAACTGAAAGGCTAGGGGAAATACAGCACTAAAATACAGGAGAAAGGGTAAAAGGAGGAGTGAAACAAGAGAAAAAAAAGCAGCTTTTCATATTATGGGAGTTTTATTTTTACTACAGATGACTCCAGAATTTAGTAATTATTTAGGTTTCCATTTTCTGTAGAAGGACAGACCAAAAAAGAAGCCTCTCTACCCTCAATGCTCTCTCCTTGAAATCCTAGCACCAGGTAGAGAAAGGTCCATCCTGCAGTTCAGCACCCATTTTAGTGGCTAGAGATCACCAGTTCTTGCACTTGAAAGGTGCACAGGAACAGTGGAAAAATTAGGAAACTCCATGTTAACCAGGTTGCTGGTTTCTCTGACTGTATTCTTGCCTGGGGCTTTGCTATTGCTGTAGGAAAAATGAATTACACAGAGATGAGGGAGAAGGCTCACTGTGAACCATTGCAGAGAAGTATTTGCTAATGAGTAGAGCATTAACAAATGTCCATTAACGAAGTATGTAATACTCTCAAAACCACAAGTATCTAATTTCCTAGAATAATTCAAAGCAACACCTTACATGTGAAGCCACTGGCACTGTCTTGCACTGAAACCAGGTATCCAGATTGCATGAATTCTCCCTCGGGTCTTCATGGAAATTCCTTTCCCAGCACTTAAATACTCATCTCTTTCTACAAGTCACTCGGAAATATATTTCACCAGTATTATATATTTCCCAATCAGAAACCTTGGCACAGACCCCTTTTTTTATCCTTTTTTTCCCTGTCAACTTTTGCCTATTTATTCCAGCTGTTTGTTCATGCCGCTGATATGAACTAAACACTGTTAAACAGACTCAGGGTTGGTCTGAACAACCCCTCCGCTACCAGCACTTGTGGGGTCATGCGGCTAGAGCCACGACAAGAGCCTCCCAGCATATCTGCAACCATCAGGATTTCTGGACACTAAGAAGGTTTCAGAAATTTGGGCCACTAGCTTCTCCGGAGCTCACTTTGTATGCCACGGGGTTAGGTGGGATTCCCCACTTCAGTGCACACAGCTTATGCCTGCGTGGTGGTTTACCATCAGTTTCAGCTTTGCGAATCCCATTTACCTACAGGGCACGGCCCTTCCAGCTGCAAAATGAGACTCGTGATCCCACTCCAGTGAGGGCTAGTCCTTCCCACCACCCCAAGCTAAATTTTTCAGTAGCCATCCCATTCCCCACGTTCACAAGAAATCATGGTGCCAATCAGCCAGAGGTGTTCCTCCAGTTCTGCCCCATGAGCACCTGCGCTGGAGGCTGGGCTCGCCTGTCACGGCTGACATGTTTTCTTAATCCTTTTTCTCCTCAGGGTCTTATGCAGGTGCGGTAGTTGCCATGCCGCTGGCAGGTGTGCTGGTACAGTATATAGGATGGTCATCAGTCTTTTATGTTTATGGTGAGTTGTTTAACATAAAGGATCTCTGCGACTAGACTGGTACTGCCAGCAGTTTTGTTAAACCTGTATAACAAGTATGGATCAAAGTTGTTTTGGAGAATGAAGAGGTTGCAAATGGGTATTCCAATTTATTCCCTACTTATTGCAGCTTTTGAAAGCTTTTATTTTGTAATCATCTGTTGTAAAATGTTTTAAAATTGTAATGACCAGGCTACAGCCCATGGTCACCCAGTGACAGGGTTGGATGCAGTTGCAAAGGTTGCTCTGTAGCACAAACACCCATGTGATACACGTCCCGTATGCTGCTGATGGGGAGCTGAATGCCTCTGAAACCTCTTGCCCTAAGAACATCTGTGCCATGCTGCTCACCCTCCATAAAAGCAGTGCCACCTTTACAAAGCGGTCCCATCACACGGGTATGGCCTCGTGGCTGGTCCGTGGTGCCTCGTGCTTCCCCCCGCAGTACGTGGCAGAGCTGGCTCAAACCCAGCCTTGTACATCAGCAACCCAGATAAGATGCTTTTTCTCTGGAGACACAGAACGCGCCATAAGATTTGCCATCACGATCTGATTGTGAAGTTCTTTTATGCATATTGTGACCATGTTATGACCAGTCTGCTTTTTTCCTTCCCCAGGTCCCACACAAAGCTTTGCTTCTGCCTTTTCTCTGCCCCATGCATATCACGTAATACAAGTGACAAAATGCTCAAATGCTTTGCAAGCAGGCATACAATATACTAAGAGTTAGTTATCATATTTTCTTACTTCCCTGGGCATATTTTATACGCAGATTTGGTTTAATTGGCTCTTGAAACAAACTTCAAGGCCTGCAGATACTCAAGTGTGGCTTTATTGTTTTTTAAAACCTAGCTTTGCTTTTCCTGCATTCCCAGGAATGTTTGGGATTGTTTGGTACATGTTCTGGCTGCTTCATGCCTATGAGAGCCCTGCTGCACATCCAACAATAACCAGCGAAGAAAGAATATATATAGAAACAAGTATCGGAGAAGGAGCCAGCCTAGCTAGTGCAAGTGTAAGTAAAAAAGGCTTTTCTGGTTGTAATTTGTAGCACTTTACACAAGATCAGCATATGACTGGATGGATACCGTTAGCTGCGTAAGAGCAGCAGAACTATTTTCTGTTGATGTTTAGGGGCTTTTCCTTTTATGAAAATTACAGGATCAGGCTCATGCAGCTGGACAGGACGAGTTCAGCAACAGGCAAAACACATAGTGCTGTTTCAGCTCTCGGTTTATAGGGCCTCCCTAATCCAGGAGAGAGGGGGAACCACACACTCTGATCTCCTGCTCTTGACTAACTATCGTGTTTGTTCTAAAAAATATTAATGGAAATAGCTGAATAAGAAACTGGCTGCAGATGTTAAATTATCCAGCTGCCTTTTGAGCTGTCATTAAGGATGATGGAAATTCTGAAAGCATAAGGACAGGGTTTCTGCCCTGCTCACTCTCACAGCGGCTCAGCTCACTGTTTTAAGGCTTCTCTGCTCTCTCTGAGAGGATCCTGGAAGATCCTGGAAACTTAAAACTAAAACCTATTTTCCCATCAAACTTCTCTCCATTTCCTTAGACAACTCATTTTTGCTAGTGGTGAAAAACAAAGCTGTTTCTTGATAAACTCTTCCTTCTTGGCTTTTACTCTAAAGCATTCTGGAGCAAAATAACTCCAAACTCTTTTCTCTACATGTTTTGTGTAATAGCCTTGCTGAGAGCATAAAGTACCAGACCCTCCTATTGGGCATGCTCCTGAAGTTTGCTGAAAGCACTCAGGTCTTGGCTGGAGACACACACACTTGTTCCAAGTCATGGTTTTCCCCTCGCTGTACAGTGGTTTTACTGCAAAGGACACTAGTACCACCACCATGTGTTCACACATGACCACAGGCATATGGTTGAACAAAACTACCATTTTTTAAAAAAAGGAGAATGTCAATGTATATTGCCATAGTTACATATTTCAGCTTCTCATTTGAATTCTATTATAAGTGAATAGGGCTCTGAAGTGTTTTTTGTTCCTGCCGTATGGAGTATTGAGGCATAAATAGAAACTGGAAATGCCAAAAGCAAGTTATAGAAACTAAATCCTCTACCATAGACTATTTTTGCTGAATGAAATGAATTGGGTTGAAGCAGGTAGCTGCCTGTTGCTGCACTACCACATATTTCTTAGCTTGCATAATCCTTTTTTCACAATCCTTTCAGTGGAATGTCTCAAACTGCATCTTGCCAAAAAGTGGGGAATGGCTCAAGGTTTTCTCTGGTTTTCTTTTATTGATCCTGTTATCCCTATAGCAAGATTCCAGAAGACCTTGTGTAATTTCAGTAAGTAGAACAATAATAGTACAGTAGTCATCTTAAAAATCTTAACTATTCTAAGAAAGTTTCTCTACTTGTCTTTTGCCGCTAATCCAGGAGATATCTTTCACTTGCATTGTAAGTGATTTGCAGTGTAAATTGGATGCAATGTACCGGATAGTCCTGATACTAAAAGATACTGGGCTCTTTATTCTGCCTTTGCTTATTCAAAAATGCATTTTTTTTTTTTCCCCCCTAGAAATTTAGTACTCCCTGGAAGAGATTTTTCACTTCAATGCCAGTTTATGCAATCATTGTGGCAAACTTTTGCAGAAGCTGGACCTTCTATTTGCTCCTTATAAGTCAGCCTGCTTACTTTGAAGAAGTCTTTGGTTTTGCAATAAGCAAGGTAAATGTCTGAGATGAAGCAGTGACCTTCAGACCTCACCCTAGGAGATACAGAGTGCTTGAAGATCCCCAGATCTCTCTGGAGTCATTACAGTAGATTATTCACAGTAGTTGGGATGACATACTTCTGGTGATCTGATAGAAATAAAAGCTTGCTAGCATCAAATTATTAGCAAAAGGAAAGAACTGAAAAGTTGTTTTGGGGAAAAGTTGATTAAAAAAAACATATATCATGAAAATCATAAGGTAAGTAAATAGAAATGCACATTTTGTTTAGTGCTGGCAGTTTAGCATTATTTGCCAGGTAATTTTAATCCTCTTCTTTTTTTTTATTTCATTACTTTTCATTGACAATGAGGGTCAAATTCTGCATGGATTGATATTCCCTGCCACTGCCACTTCATTAAAACCAGTATTGTTACGCTCCCTCTTCAGAGCATGAATGAAGACTTCAGAATATTTGTTCCAGAAAAGTTTTCCCAATATTCCTTTAAAAAAACAACTTGCTATATTGTAACTTATTTTCAAGCAAGTGTAATCCTGTAAACTGATAACAAACATCATCATTATCTGTGTGGTCTGGGAGCACCAGTGTGCCCAGGTTCTGCAATGCTGTTATGGTAGCAGTAACACTCTGAATGGCCAAGCGCAACATGGAGATGAAGAACAGGTGTACTAAGACAAAATAGGTTTGTTTATTCTGAATTGCCTTTCATAAATGCTAAAGTTGCACCTCTGTGTACTTCACTAGTTAAAAACTAATGTAAAATTGACTCAGTGTCAATGTAAGGAGGTTGCACATCCTAAAAAATAAACTCAAACTTCTCACTAAATTACTTCTTCAAAGAAAAACTTCTAGAAGGTGACATGCTGATCACTAAAACTCCGCAAAATAGTCTTTTCGCATATCTGGGATAAGTACCAGAGCTAACAGAAACAGTAATAACCCTTTGGCAGAAAATTCACCAAGGGGAAGTCACACTTGACCAATTTGATAAGCTTGATAAACTTTTATGATGAAATGACTGGCCTGATAGACAAGGGGAGAGCAGTGGATATTGTCTATTCAGTAAGGCCTTTGACAACGTCTCCCATAAGATCCTCATAGACAAGCTGTTAATGTACAGGCTGGTTGAGCAGACAGTGAAGTAGATTGAAAACAGGCTGAATGGCCGGGTCCAGAGGGTGGTGATCCGTAGCATGAAGTCTATTGGAGGCCAGTAACTAGCAGTATACCCCAGGGGTCAATACTGGGTCTGATCCTGTTTGACATCTTTATTAATGATCTGGATGATGGGGCAGGGTGTACCCTCAGCAAGTTTGCAGATGACACAAATTGATACGCCAGAGTGTTGTGCTGCCATCCAGAGGGATGTCAACAGGCTGGAGAAATGTGCTGACAGGAACCTCATGAAGTTCAACAAGGGGAAGTGCAAAGTCCTGCACCTGGGGAGAAACAAGCCCATGCACCAGTACATGCTGGAGGGTCACCCAGCTGGAAAGCAGCTTTGCAGAAAAAGAAAAGGACCTGGGGGTCCTGGTGGGCACCGGGTTGAACATGAGCCAGCAATGTGCCTTTGCGGTAAAGAAGGCGAATGATATCCTGTGCTGCATTAGGCAAAGTATTTCCAGCAGGTAGAGGAAGGTGGTCTTTGCCCTCTACACAGCACTGATGAGGCCATACCTGGAATACTGTGTCCAGTTCTGGGCTCCCTAGTACGAGAGAGACATGGACATACTGGAGAGAGTCCAATGAAGGTCCTCAAAGATGATTAAGGAACTGGAGCCCCTCCAGTTCCTATGAGGAAAGGCTAAGAGAGCTGGGACTGTTTAGCATGGAGAAGAGAAGGCTCAGGGGGGATCTCATCAATGTATACAAATACCTGACAGGACGGTGCAAAGAAGACAGAACCAGGCTTTTCTCAGCAGTGCCCCAGTGACAGGACCAGAGGCAATGGGCACATTCTGAAACACAGGAGGTCCCATCTGAACATCAGGAAACACTTTTTTACTCTGAGGGTGACTGAGCATTTGCACAGGTTGCCAAGAGAGGTTGTGGAGGTCCTAAGGTCACGCCATCCTAAGGTCACCCAGGTCTTGGTTGCAGGTTCTGTTGGACGAAAGGTCTGCAACTCTCCCACCCAAGGATCCAGGATAAAAACGTGTCCAATGGGGGGAAAAAAAAGAGGTGAAGAAAAGGTATGGTTCCTATTCTCTTCCCCCTAAATCCTGAGGGAGGACACGAGCAGTAAGCACTCATTTGTCTAATTGCAGGTTGGCCTTTTGTCGGCAGTTCCTCACATGGTCATGACAATCATTGTACCCATTGGAGGGCAGCTAGCTGACTTCTTACGGAGCAGGAAGATTTTAAGCACTACCACTGTAAGGAAGGTCATGAATTGTGGAGGTACTATTGGATTCTGAAAATACGGTATTTCAATTGTGTGCTGCAGTTGATGCAAATATCATAGTTTGGTCCATGTTTAATTGTAACAAGACACAAATTACTCAAGATTGCATTTGCAGCTGGTTAATCTGAAGCATTTAATGGAGAGCTGATGTTAGATGTCCTCATGGTATAAATCCTTACTCATATAAGCATGGTTTTAAAAAGGGAGGAGCCAAGAAGCCTGGTTAATAATGAAAAGCGCAATACGGAGTGGCCCATAAGATTAGTGTGATCAAATAGGTCTCATCTTGCAAACTTGTACAGAAAAAGTTAACAATGTACTGTGGTCCTGGAGAGATCCTTTCCCACTGGATACAGCCTTTCAATAACTGGCCATGTTCCCATGTGCTACTTCCAGCAGAACCCACTGGCAAGTTTAGGCTGGAAGGGTTGGGTAAAAAAAGATGGGGGACAGACAGACTCTCATTTTTACTCAGCACAAAAGAACTTGTTTCCAGTTCAGTCACTGAACTGAAAAATTAATGACATCTACATGTAAGGAAGATACTAAATTAGAGCAAAAATTTCAAGCCAGATAGCCTGTGGAGTCGCTCTCCTCTGCCAGTTCCTGGCTTACATTATTTATGGATGGCACAGGCGCCCTGAAATAGAGATGCTTGCAGTCAGAGATGCCATGCAGCTTGGCTACGCATCTTCACAAAGGATTCTCAGAGTCACTGTGTTTTCAGTGTCATTCAAAAAAAAAAACAAACAGAAGGATTGTAATGTTGCATACTAGAAAATGTTAATTTGCAGTAATGGCAGAAACTGGAAGTTCCCTGTGATACTCAGGACTGTCCTATTGTGTTGGTGGCACATGTATGAAAAATGCTCTTTTGCTCCATTTGCCAAGAACATCTCAAATCACTACAACCATGAGAAATTGAAGGCGAGAAGTATTTTTCTCGTTTCCCTACCATGTTTGTGTGATTGAATTTTTCAGTGCTTTGCACAGAGTCACTTTCTCATTGTTTCCCTGTACTGCTCAGCGAGTTAACGTCACCAATTGCTTGGGTCATTTACACAGCAATGAGGAGAAAAAAGTATATTCTCCAACAATAAATATTCAAATATTTCTGTGAATCCACAAAGCTGCCGAGTATGTTCAAGAATGGCTGTAAGATACGGAAGAATTTTGTCTCATTTTAAGTTGCTATTCTGGCTAGACCTTATTGGTATCTCTGCGACCAATAGTAATTAGAATGTAATTTATTCCCATGTGTTTCATTTGAAGGCTTTGGGATGGAAGCAACCTTGCTTTTGGTGGTTGGTTATTCTCATACAAAAGGTGTGGCTATTTCCTTTCTGGTGTTAGCAGTAGGCTTCAGTGGCTTTGCAATTTCAGGTAAGAATTAATCTTATTATTGGTTTTACTATTAGTGATAAAAGTGATGTTATTATCCTCACTGTTGTCACTGTCATCATTTCTATTATTCTGTTTGCTCTTAATGTGGCTGCTTGTGGGGTATTCCCTATTTCTTCCCATATCAGAAATAATTTACGTCAGTATCTATGAAACGTGTTGCACATAGGACATGAAGCTTTGAAAGAACCTGCTCTTTATTGATTCCAGTTTACATCAGCTTTGCGCTGTTATTTTCTAATAACAGTGTCAGCCACCTTTTCTTCTTGCATAAACAGTATCCCTAAAAGGAGAGAGAGAGAATTACTCTGGAATGAATAGTTGCTCAAAGGCTATCAGTTGCAACCCCGCTCCCAGCCCTAGTTGCCAGTTTCTGCTTTCTAGGTCAGTCCTCTCTCTGTTGTGTCCTATAACAAGGCCTTCTCCAGAACAGCTGTTTCTAACACTTTCATGGGTCTCACCAGTTTCAGACTGACTTCTGTAGCTCCACCATCGTACCATCGTTATTAAAAAAACCCCTTTTGTTATGAAGATGGAAGGCCATCAGCTAGCAGACTGCCAAGAAGATGGATCTGTTGAGCAAAATTGACCAGCAAAGTAACTGCTGGTCTTCAGTTGCTTCAGGATTATGCAGAGGGAAAGTAATTTTGCTACTCAGTTATGAGGTACTTGCATAGCAGGCCATTTCTATCAATCAATTTTTATTGCAGGATTTTCCCAGTAGTCAGCTTTTTACTGCATTTAATCCCATGGACTTGGAATTCATCATCCTTTCTTGTGACCATCCATAGCTCATTTGACTAATTTTCATTATCTAAAGCAAGACAATTATCTGAGCTGATTTTTACTATTTGTTTTTATTTCTTAATAAAATATGTACCCAGAAGAGATGCTACAGTAAGGGTAATTATTTTTCCTACTGGTTTATGTTCTGGTTTTTTTATCATGTTGTTAAACTGCTACTTAAAGTACCAGAAAATGTGTATTAAAAACCTCTACTACCTAAATGAAAAGATATCAGACATTTGACAAACATGAGGCATTCATTCCTTAACTAAAAATGTTTGCTGAGTACATTGTTTCAGTATGAGAAGATGGGAAGCAAAGACACTTTAAACGAGGCCAAAACAAACTATATTTTCTATACAACATGATCCCCATATGTGGGGAAAAAAGAGGTTTTGAAAAAGAATAGAGTTGCAACATATCTTCCATCTTTATCACCAAGAAAATACTACCCTTCTTTCTCATATATATGGTAATGGGCTTTCCTACCTTTTGCAGGCTTCTTCAGCCAGAAGGGCTGTAGAAAGCTCTGTTGGCCTGGTAGCGCAAAGCTGTATAGTTGACCATCGTCTCTCATTTGTTGTAGGATTCAATGTGAATCACTTGGACATAGCCCCACGTTATGCCAGCATTCTGATGGGGATCTCCAACGGCGTGGGCACGCTGTCGGGCATGGTGTGCCCCCTCATTGTTGGTGCAATGACGAAACATAAGGTAACATTTCTCCATGTTTTCTAGGAAAAGGATTAGGTAATGCAACAAAAGTTAAGACGTTTTGAAGCTTCCTGGGAACTCCATTTCATCATCCATCTCTGCAGCTGTTTTCTGTTGTTGTTTTTTTTAAATATTCACTTTTACAATACCACGGGGGCCAGATTCTCTGCTATTATAAACTAATTATAGGGAGATATTATTTTATACCAGCTGGGTCTCTGCAATATCTCAGTACTACTGGGTAATGCTTATAGGACTTGGGAAACTCCTCTACAATGCATCCCTGGTAGGGTTCCTAAGCACTGATCTACAATAAGATTAACTTAGTTGTTAGAGAAATCCCTGCATTTCCAACTCCACGAATATTTCACATGCAAGAGAGAAACTTCACTGTGAGAAGAAAAAATCCCATGTTTTATTTTATTAGGCGTTATGAAAAAAAAAATCTTCACAATGACTCTCATAAATTGTTCTACCTGTAACATCAGGAATCAAACAGTGATCGCGGTCATTGTTCAATATGTGCTAATTCATGGTCTAATTCAGAGAGTAAGATTTCTTTTTACTGCAAACTTAATGAGACCTGCATCATTCTTTCAGACCCGGGAAGAATGGCAAAACGTCTTTCTGATCGCAGCCCTGGTGCATTACAGTGGAGTGATATTCTACGCTATCTTTGCTTCTGGGGAGAAGCAAGAATGGGCTGATCCTGAAAATCTCAATGAAGAGAAATGTGGCATAATTGATCAGGATGAACTAGCTGAAGAAACAGAAATGAACAATGAAACTTTTGTAAGTCCAAAGAAAATGTATGGTGCTACCAGTCAAAACAGTGAAGTACAAAGAAGGGAATGGAGAAAGCAAAAGCAAGTAACTCAAGACATGGAAGAACAGACTTCTTATCATCATGAAAATGGAAATTTTCAAGATTTGTCATAATACTTGAAATTGTAAGGTTTGTATAGCAGCTACTCCCATCCCCCCTTCTGCCTAGCTGCCCCAAATCATCTGGTATCCATATTTATTTTCTTATTCAATTGTGTAACATCTGACCGTGTGGCTAGGTACAAGGAGTGGTAGTTCCCTTCTAATAGTATGGAAGAGGGCTAACAACGATGGGACTGGGAGAAGTGATACTAAATCCTTGCTCAGCCATCGTATCCCCTTGGGAGGAGCTCCTGCACCCGACAGGAGATGACCAGCCATGGCAGGGCTCCTGCCCGGTGCAAGCCTATGGCTGCAGGAGCAAGGAGTGCCCTCATCTTCTTGCCTGAACAGAGGAAGGACAAGGTCGTATCAGATGGTGGATCCACAGTGATATATGTAATTACTGGGGCTCCAGTGGCCTGGAAGTCTGCCCTGAGTGGCCCTACTTTGTCTTTTTAGGATTCCTGTAGGTTGGCATTTGAACTGCTTAACCCATGCCAAACTGCAAGCTCATGCTGAAAGAAAAGCAGTTTTATGGCAGTAGGCTGTAATTAGTTGCTAACGGTCACTCAACAACAGGAAGAGGAACATGTAGCAGAGATGGCACAGTATTGCTTCAACAGTTCCTTCAAATTGATTGACAGTCTGCTTTATATGCATAGCCCACGGAGTCTGAATAGGGCAATAAAATGGATACTTGTGAAATTTCTCCCCTTCCAAAGATTTTGTGCTGGCATGAAATAATTTTGAATACAAAATCATCGTTAGTGATGCAATATTATTAATCTTTACGAAAGGAAATCTTAGTCCTGTTGGGATTAGGTTTCTCACTCAATTCATTATTGTGAAGTAACTTAAATATATTTTTCTAGTATTATACTGATAGAGTTCTGGCCTCAACCCCAACAGTCCTCATTTAGGTGAATGAGCTTACTTACACGAGTAAAGTCTTTAGTTCTGGATCTGTAACTTTTCAATGCCTCAGTCTTGCTGTTGCTACAAATGAAGTACTCTACTATTTGAGAGTTAACAGAGTATCTATGTCTGAAAGTAATTTTCTTTTGCCATTGGTATATGTTCGACAGTATAAAGTGGCTTTAGCCTTTTTCTGCCATTTTTAGAATCCGCCAGTGGAGCATGCTGTATCATCTCAAGCAGTTAGCTGCAACTCAGAAACTCATTGTGGCATTAACACTCTTTTCAGAATGGAGAATTTCAGTAAGCTGTGATTTCATTTGTCTTTCATTATGATTACTGCCTCATTAAATTCAAGTGAAAGCTATCCTGTCTAGCCTACGATGTGCTTTGTGATGTTTCAGTATTAATATTCTCAAGTACCATATATAGCCACCGTGATGCACACGAGATTTGAACATTTCTAATACGCATTTTGCTATTTTGTTGAAGTGCAGTTGAATACCATTACACTTGTACATTCATTTGAATCCATGGATGATTTATCTTCCCTACAAATGTAATTAAACAGGGAGACCAGGAAGTTAGGTGATTCTATTTTCATGTCTCTGATTCCTTTTCTACCCAGCAAAATCCAATCTAGAACTATATACAGTTGAGAAGTAAAGTAAGGTGAATGGATGCATGTCTAATTTGACTCCAGTGAGGATTTTTTAATTGGTATCAGCAGATAATTTAATGTTTGTGTATTGTTATGGTACAGCTCAATCCTACCTTGACACAATGCAGTTTATTAATAAGCCACTCAAAAAAAAAAAAAATTATAGCTTTAAAAAGAATTATAGGATAGAAAAGAATATTTTTTCAAAATTCTAAAATTCAGTTTAGACTAGAGTTGCTTATTTCACTACTGATGTTTAGAACAGGCATAAGAAAATATCTTCTTTCTTGCAGGTTATAGTCAACATTTGGGGATTTAAGTGGCAGGATCTTGAGTCAAATGTTCTCACCAATCTATCAGAAAAGCTGGACCAGCTGCTGTCAGACTATTTTGCAATGTCCACCACATCTTATGAAAGAGAGAGGGCCACTTCTTTGCATATGCGCAAACCAAACAGCTTCTTCCTCCCTCTCCAACCACACAGCGTGTATGTAGTTACTACAGGAACTCTTAATAGGGAAAATAGTATTATGAAAGGATTTAATATAAGAATAAGTAAAATTGTGTAAGTAAAATCTAGCAGAGAGGAAAGAGTAAGACAATCGGCTGGTATTAGTAAAGAGAAGACCAGACAATGGACTATTCTAGAAACAGTAATGTTGTCCGAGAAGCTCATTTTTCCAGTAATGCTAAAGGGTAACATTCCTGTCTTGCTAAGAGGAACACAAAGGGAGTGAATGTCATTGTTATGACAAAGAATTACAAGCGTCCCGAAAATTTGGGAAACGGCCAGCAGGCACATGAGAGCTCGGTTGCCTCTGTGGTGAACGTAGCTGCTGTTTCTTACTGCTATAGATATTTTGCATTTAAGTAAACATTTTCTTTCTTTTCTAAATTTAACTGCTTCCAGAGGCAGAATATCATCTCTGACAAGATGAAGTTATGCACAGACCACAATGCTTTTCCAGGCAACCATGTTCAGATGTTTGTGCTGTCTTTCTCCCTTTCCTTTTCATCTGTTTAAAATTGTTCAGGTGCATTGCATGAAATGTAAACATCAGCACTGGTTGGAAGTTAGTTTTCTTTCCTGGAAATCTTTGTTACTTAATCAACTCTTTGATCTACACAGTGGCTTCCACAATACTGTATGACCAAGAATAAAGCCAACTTATTGGGATCAAACAGGCTTTGTAACTCCAGTTTTGCCGGATGTCTCTACCTGCAATCTGCTCCAACTGCCTTTTCTTGTGGGATCTGAAAGAGTGCAATCATTGAGGGTGTTTCTGCTAAAACTGTCGTCTTAAAATATGCTAGAATTTGCAACATTTAAACAATCAGGCAAACAGCTGGCATATCCCAACCTGACTCCAAAAAAGTCACGGCTTTAATGCTAGTGGGTGCAAATAACTCAAATGATATTTTCTAAGGAGAAATATTAGCTTGATTAAACTTCATTTATTGCATTATTTGCCTATTTTTCTGTCCCCATGTCCAAAATAACTTTTGCATATTTTCAAATATAAGACAGCGCTCATACACTCAGAGTTTGATTTGAAAATGGCTTTCTGACTGCAGAAGGAAGCAAAATTTGGTTTATATTGGAAAAGAGATCTTAAACAAGCTAGAGGAAGAGTCAGCTCTCCATAATCTGAAGTGGTAGGATAGGCCATGGAATATTAATTTAAGTCTGAGAAGAGAAAAAGTAGGACAGTAAGTCCTAGGTATATGTTGTTCAGTGTTGTTCAGTGTTGTTATCCACTGATCTTTCTTAACAAAGAAAGCTGCAGCCTTTATTTCCTTAATGTCTGATGTTTTTCAGGTACTACTAGCAGAAGTTTATTGATAATTAATACTCCTCTCATATTTATGTAAAAGTTAAACAAAGTGTTCCTTGTAGTGAGAAAGGAAAAATTAATGGCAGAAACAATGAAAATCCACCTGAATAGAAACTTACCCAGGGAAAAAATCACTTGGTCCAAAAGAACATACAAAAAAATATAACAAGGTCATCCAGATGCTAACAAAGTGCCAGGAGGAGTCTCATGCGTGTAACATGATTAATTTGAAAGTAGCAAGGCAAAAATTAATTCAAGGTCACGCAAAATGTGTCATGGCTTCACACGAATATTTCCAATTGACTCCTGTTTTCAGATAGTTACAGAGATCTTTAAGTTTAGTCATTATTTTAAGGATTTTTTAAGGAAAATTTTGTAAAAACCAGATTTCTTGTCTTATTTTTCTTCACGTTTTCATTTGAAGACCTTAATTTCAGAGTGTTATTTAATTATTCATATTTTAAGAGAAAGGAGTGAGTATTTCTCGTGGTTAAAAGAACAGAAAGGGGAAAAGAGAAAAAGAAAAAGCAAGCAGCAGCTATGAGCCAATGCAGACAGAAGGCTGAGAAATCAACTTCCAAATCCTGGAAACAGAACTTGGAGTTTTCTAGATATTTGAGTTAAAAACCTACAGGATGGGTCAAGACCTGATATTCCGCATCATTCCAAGGTTCAGGGAGTTCACTCAGGTCTCATTTTAAAGCTTAACTCTCACGAAATCAGGAATAAATAGAGAGATTAAAAACTCCTCATTCTTATGTCATCCAAATGCTTATGTTGGATTAGATAAGCATACTAGTGAGATAACACTACGAACACTAGTGCAGCTCTGTATGTACATGTAGAAGACCGGCTGGTAGGCTTCTTTGTAAAAATACTTTTAATTACTCACATACTGATATCAGTTATTTCTTAACTTCCATTGGATAACAATGTTTAGATGTGACAGGAAAAATCATCCCTTTTTTATCTCAATCTTTTTTGGTTTTAGTGTTTATACTGCTTAGCATTTTTACAGCTCTTTTGTAAGCAAAATTACGTAAGTAAAAAAAGAAATTTATGTAAGAAATGTAGTAAGATTCTACTTCTTCATGCTGAACTATCTTTAAAATAACATAATAAGAGCCAACACATTTTTCCCCAGGAGCATATCATTTGGATATTTTAAGTCTCAATCATAATAAAAGCTTGTCCCATTTAACTTGTTTCCCCCCTCATTTAATTAGTGTATTGGATATCTGCAGCAGCCAACAGACTACATTTGTTTATGTATCACTGCGTTTATCTGCACAATAAAGTCAGTGCTCAGACTCTTGCTGTACAAACTTTTGGCATCTACTTGGCTCCTTGTTTCAGGCTTAGTTCTACCTGTACAACATATTTAGAGCTCCTCTGAGCAGGTCATGGCCGTTTTGTTAAATATGTGCTAGGAAAACACTGGAACTCATGAAAAATAAATCTCTGTTGGCTCAGAGTTGTGGTTGCCCAGAGGTGTCTCATAATCTTTGGAGCACCAACCTCAGGAAGACAACAACTTTTGTAAACCACAAAATATTTAAGGTACCCAATAAAGATAGCTTTGCTCTCAGGAGCTGGCAGTC